AATGCAAAGTAAGCCATAACACTCGGATGACTGTATCATGAATTTTGATTAGGAGCTTCTGTGGTCAATTAATTCATTTAATTATTCAGAAAAAATATGGACGGTATGAACTAATGAAAATTGTCATGTAACTGTGCCAAATTGTAGCCGTGGGCTTGTTCTATTCGTGGTCTCCAAGCTGGCCAATGTAGATTAATAACAGAATATAGACAGAGGCAGTTGTACACCGAACACAGCCACAGTAAGTCATCTGTGAAAACGAAAAGTTTCAAGTTTTTCAAAATGTCTTAGAGGCAGAAGATGTGGATCAGCTTATGGCGCTGCTGCCAAAACACAGACAGGTTTTACTCTTTTTTTTTTTTTTCAAATTGCTGAGCTTCTTGGCTTTTCATGCACAGTGGGCTTTTGAATTTGAATGACCTGTGCATTCAATATGTGTTATCTGTCCATCAGCTGCTGACAGAGCAGACTAATCTGGCATAGTTTTATTGCTGTTCATGTTTAGGGAGTGGATGTTAAAACGACTGATGAGCTGATAGGTGAGGATGGCTTTTGAACAAACCAAACCTGTTTTAATTTAACTAAATCATAATTAGGGAGAGAACGTGACTGATGGAGTCTATATGGAACATTAATTACAGATTGATTTAGATCTCAATGGAGATGTTGGAAAGTGAGAGGCATTTATGTATTGTGTTGTAATCAGAGTGATTTTTCACAAACATAATTATTTCAAATCTTGCTCCTTTGCATGCAGAGTTATTTACTATCAGCCATGTTGAACAAGATCCTTGCATTCTAATGTTTTTTTCCCTATCATCCCTGAGTTGCTGAAGCCCACTGCATAAATTGATGCCTGTGTTTTACACAGTGCTTCCTGTGCCAAAGTAAAAGCCTGTAATAACACATCTCAGTAGTTAATCCTTATTTGCACTGTGGACAAAATGTTACATTTGATTAACCTGGCAAACCTTCCGTGATGTAAGCAACAAAAATGTTTGAACCTGAATGTGCAGGCATTCCAGAAATGCAATGAACATTTGCTTGATAAAGTTTGGTTGATAAAACAGTTTCTTTTGTTGACATGCCAAAGTAGCATTTCTCAGAAAATTTCTGAAAAAAAAAAATCTAAAAAAATTCTCAAAATAATCTAATCTGATGATAAACATGCAGAAAATGAAAATGTTTTATTTCTTTTTCCAAAACAATTCATCATAATTTGTGACCATGTGACCAACAACACCTGCAAAACTATGATTTCTCCAAAAAATTCAGAAAAATATTTCTAAGAAATTTCTCAAAATGTTCTAAATTAATGAGAAACATACAAAAAATGAAAATTTTGAATTTCTTTTCCAAAAGTTTTCATCATAATTTTTGACCATGTGACGGACATGACATGCAAAAGTAGGATTTCTTTGAAAAGTTCCAAAAAAAAGTAAAATTTCAAAAAAGATTCTCAAAATGTTCTAATTTGATGAGAAACATGCAGGTAAACATACAATTTCGAGAAATGATTTTTTGAAATATTCATATAAAA